CAAGAAAGACTTGGTTTCAACCAGACATCTTGATAATGGCCATAACCATTGGGCTAGAACATTTTCTGAGAAAGTGAATTCCAGAGATAAGTTGCATCAAATAGCATTTCTGACCAAAACTTCCAAATTTACTGTGCTTTAATTTTATTGAGTAATCTGCTCCTCTTGATGAAGATGAATGCTGCTCTGTGAAAGGTTATACACTTCATTATAGAATACTTGTAGAACTTGCATTTTGAAAAGGTTATCACAACATTCTATAGTCATTAGGAATCAATTAGCAATGTATAGAAGAAACAGAAGCCTAGCCCAGGTGCCCTAGCCAACTCACTTTCTATTAAGCTGCAGCTCTCCAGTATTGTGCACTGAACAAGACAGATTTCACTTTTTTTTCTAGTGACAGCTGCCCTTCCCTGATGGATTAAACTTCTTCTGTAACTCTGCCTTATTTCTGAAAGACATTTGCCACCAAGTGTCAGGGTGTGAGTGTGTGAATTGTCAAGTCAGCAGAATGTAGTGGATTGTGTCTACCCCTCTAATTACATGACTGAAAGTCTTCCCCTATGTGCTTGGTGATGTTCAGCCACTATGTTAATAGGTAATATGCCTCTAACATTGTCTTTGAACTATGATGCCTGTGGAATGAATGAGACACTTGCAAAATGTACCAGACTATTACCTCTGGGAGATAAAAAAATCACTAAACAAGTTACTCGTGCATATCTCCTGTGGCCTTACCAATGTGTCTTCACCTGTGTCTTCTGAAGGACCAGAAGACACAGGCACAAATGTCTATTTCTAGAGACAGAAACTTTTATTCCTTGGCTGCTACTGAAACTGCTGGTAGTAACTGTGATCAGAAAACTACAGAATTATTCTAGGTGATTACCTGTATCTTTGAGAGAAAAGCCTTTGTTGAAATGCTGTATGCACAATAGCAATTAAGGATACTTTGCAGAGAAAGAGCTCTTCCCCTGTACACAGGGCCCAACAGACCTCAAATATGCTGAAATTCCCTCTTTTTGTGGTGATGCTGAGTGGTTTCTTTGGCAGTACCCAGTGAGGCAAGGTAGTATCCCACTTTGCAGACTGGAAAGCTGAAGCATAGTGAGCCAAATGATGTCCCCACAGTGCTTGAGAGGGTGTGTAGCAAATCATGGGAAGGAGTCTAAGAGCTTTATCCCCAAGGTCTCTGAGAGATGATGCACTAATGCTCTGAAATATGCCAACTTCCTCACATGTGAGCGTTGAGATGTGAGCTGTGAAAGGTCAAGGCAATCGGACTCAGAGAGCAGAACTATTTCTATACATGACAATCTGCAGATTCCCACTGATCCTGTGGTGATGTAACAATTGTTCCATATATGGTTAAGTTGGCATCAGGCTGCAATCACCTTGACTACTGAAACTGGAATATTATCATTCAGACCTACACTTGCTGATAATCTATTGACAACTGTGAATTTAGAAGATGATCCACTTTTTCTGTTGAGATTCAGAGGGTTAATAGTAAACACTCAGTGACCAGAAAACTGAACTGTGTATCAGGAGTTGTCTGTCCTGGAGAGATAACCTATAAGAGAACCATTTCCTGTCCACTGTAGGCAACAGCACAGAATAGATTTTGCAGACCTGGTTCTCTGCACTCAGTAGTGAGTAAATGGTAACACTCCTGATCTTACCATGACCCTTTGCAGGTTCTCCACTTCAATATCATAATGAGGAGAAATAGCTCTACCACTTAAGTTATATTTGCAGTGAAAGCCTCCAGCTGTAGTCAGCAGGACATGTGTCTGCATACACACAGGATTAAGAGCTCCATGTTTGCAGAGGGATGGTAAATTCCCAGGAAGCTGCTTCACTCAAACACAGGTGCAAGGATCGTGCTGAGCAATGCTCTCATACAGTTATCACTGCAAACAGTTGCCCAGGGAGGCTGTGGCTGGCCCAACCCTGGCAATGTTCATTCCATGTTGGATGAGCCTTGAACAACCTGCTTTGGTGGGAGGTGTCCGTGCCCAGGGCAGGGGTTGGGACTGGATTATCTCTAAGCTCTATTCCAACCCCAAAAATTCTATGATTCTATGATACTTTCATTTTGGAGGAGGCATTGCCAGATATTTGAAAGAATACCCAAGAATTTAATGTTTCTTAAATGTTGATACATAGCTGTTACTGTTTTGAGTAAGTCTTTTTCTTTTTTACCCACAACTTATTCCAAACAACCTATTTCTCTGCATTTCTCCTGCAGATGTTTTTCAGGAGTGAGTAGTAAGCTCAGTGTACTGTCTCTTTAGCCCAGAGGGATTTTAACATCATTTACCAATACCTAATGGTATAGTAAGACATAACATATCTTAATCTGTCACCTGTGGGTCAGGCCCACAATGGACAGAATAATCTCACCTTCTACTAAAGAAAATGAGAGGTGAGAGCACCAAATGTGGGGAAATCCAGGAAAAGAGAGACAGACTCAGCTGTCTGCCAAATCCTGATGGTTTCTCTATGCTTGAGAAGCTCTCACTGTCTCTGCCCCTCAGCTTCTCCATTACGCATATGACTGTGCAATAAAAAGGAGATGAAAAGCTGACCTTTGAAATTTTCAGTTTGAGAAGTCCCAAATGCTCTGCTGTACCAGAATGCAGGTCTATTTTTCAGGACTAATTTGTGCTGATGCTAGCTGGTACAATCGTTATGCAATTGTGCAGGCATTGGGAATAGGCAGAGTACACTATATTCTAGTTATGTACTTTACCAGGCCATGATGGAGACTCCTTGCCATCTGGAAGTTTCTTCATGCTAGGGAAATTCTGTACCTCTCTGAGTACCCTGATGTACACCTGAGCTCTGTACCTGGCACTCTGGCATTTGCTGTTTAGGATTCACTTTTATCACAGCTTTGAGAAGTTCTACTTTTCCAGTTGACTTTCCCAGCTGAAAAAAAAAAAAAACAACCCAAAACTATTGATAGATTAAAAACCATAGAGCTGTGGCTTTTTTATCACCATCTATCATAATTAGAGAGATGTCAAGTCATCATTGTGCCCACAGTGGTAAATTCTTATGGCAGTTTTTCAAAGTCATCCATACTCATTGTTTGTGCAGATTGCTTTAGACAGATAGTGGTTTTCTTTGTAGAAGAGCGAAGGTGTTGAGTCTCATTTCTTTACTTAATTCCAGCTTGGGCAGTTACATTTTGCCTGCCTGATTTCCCAATGGGATTTCAGGTGAATATTTGCTTCCATCTTTATACAGCATGATGTTTTGTTCTCATTAAAGCACTGATGTGTAGTAGACACCAGAGGTGTCCATGTGTGTGGTCACGTGGGATGAAATGTGGCTTGCAAATGCAAAGAATAATTAGTATTATTTATAAAATAACTGAAAAAATCTACAAATGTATTAAAAGGGAAGCTGCTTAATGTGCTTAGGGTATGTCAGACATTCAGGTCCTCTCTTCTGACCACCAAATGTATTCATCCTATGAGGAAGGAGCTGATGAACTCTTTTCACATAGACAGATTTTGAGCTTGTTTTTTAATGAGTCTACTTCAGTTCAGTCACAGCTGAAGGAGCCCTGAGATGGAGTTCTGGTTCAGCCCATTGACTGTGGACTATTGCCAGACAAGGACTTTAGTGACTGTACTTTGAAAGAAAAATGGATAAGGGACTTCCACCCACAATGAACTGATTATATTAGTGTTCCTCTCCTGCCTTGTCTTACTGAAGGTCTGAAATTCCTTTCCTGAGTTGTTATGAATCTTGAGTCAGATTGCCTCCCCTGAAGTGTGTCTCAGTGCCCATGTAAGGAAGAATATTTCTTCTGTGATCCCAACAAATGCTTAAGTTGCAAAGGAAAGAGCATTTTCCTGGAAAGAGAGGACAACATACAATAAAATTTTCAAAAGAGTGGAAAACAGAGGAACGTAGGTTGCTTTATGCCTTTAGGTTCTTTCAAGTCTGCAATTTATGTTCATAAATCATTTTAGTGCTTCTGAAAATGTTAACCACCATCTGTTTCTTTAATGATACTATGTCTGGCTCCAAAGATAAGTGTTTATGAAAAGTAAAGAAGGGACTCTGGTATTTTTGATACCATCATGAAAATGAGATTCTATTAAGGTATTTAGCAACTTTCCAAAATTTTGAACTTTGAAGGAGACTTCAAGATAAAATAGTGCTTATGTGCTAGATGCTTTTAGAATATACACAAGACCTTATTGTCTGCCAGAGTTGAACCACACAGGTCTTGGTGCTGAAACAATAGTCTTTCTGCTTCATTTGCACATCCTTATAGTAGTGGGAAATCCAAACTTATGCTCATGTCACTCAGTTTACAGCTTCAGATTCTCTTGAGTATTCAGGTTTTTGGTAAGTGATTGATCCTTCAAGGAGAGAAAGGAAGTTTGTGAGAAAGCTTTAGAGAGCACTTGACCGGGTCAGAACATGGTGGGCCTTGAAAAGACCTTCCTCAAAAGTTCAAAGCTACTGCCCTCACTGTGCTAAATTGTGAAGATTGCCAAAGCATTGCCAGGGAAAGACCAGCATTTGCCCATGGTTCCCACGTGCTCCTCTCTGGGGTACAGAGAGCTGTGCTACACTTGGGAAGTCAACATGTTCTGCCAGCACAGTGTGGCGATGCTGGGCAAAGACTACCAATATTTCCACTGGCAGCAGAGAGTTGTGTGTGTGTGCAGTGCTTATAAGTTCAGAAGTCATGGGGTGGATCCTTCATGGTGCTGTAAGTAAATGGCAAAAAGTAATGGAAGTGCCAGGACATGGTTATATCTCAGCCTGTCTTAATCACTGACTGTAAGGAAACAGAGCAGGAAAAAAAAACAATCAAAGGAGTGGTCACATCAGAAAGAAAATACAGAAAAACCTGCTGTGGTTATATGTAAACCAACCACAGGCTCTGTTTACAAACCTTTCCATCTGTTTCTTTGCCTAATCATTTCTGCTTTCCCTCTCTGTCTTCTAACTTTCCTTCGTCTTTCCAGATGCAGGACGCTATGGGCTATGAGTTACCATGGGTGTATTTTGTCAGTCTGGTCATCTTTGGATCCTTTTTCGTTCTAAATCTGGTTCTTGGTGTGTTGAGCGGGTAAGCTGACAGTTTTGGTGTCCTTTTTCCAATGCTACAGGGCAAGACTCCATAATAAGGGTTCTTCCCTGTCACCAGGATTCTTTCGGAGGGATTAAAAATCTGAATCCGAGGAAGCTTCACATCAGCTCTGAAATATTTTGGCAAAATGTTCAAACATTGCAAATACCAATCCAGGTAACAAAAGTGGGGTTGTTTTCTGACAAAGAAATGCAACCTCAGAGTATTCCAAATGGCTAATGTCAATCTGTCAGAAATTTCCAGACAACTGGCTATTGAAAAATCTTACTGCTGGTGACTTGGGATCTCTTTGGCTGGAGCCTTGCAGTGCTCAGAATCTGAGCTTGTCTCACTAATTATCATTCCACTCTTCCAGGTCAATGATGCCATAGGAAGGGACTGGCCCTGGATCTATTTTGTTACTCTAATCATCATAGGGTCATTTTTTGTACTTAACTTGGTTCTCGGTGTGCTTAGCGGGTAAGCAGTCCCAGGAAAATGTTTTGTTATTGTTTATTTTTTAAACCTTGTATTTCTATTCCTACTCTCTGGTTACCAAAACAGCAGGCAGTGGTGGCTTGATCACAAGAACCTTTCATAGAAGTCCTGGGCTGTTGCTGTGCCACTAGCAAAACAAGGCATTCTGAATGGCATGGAAGGAGTATTTTGACTAAATCAAAGGAAATCAAAGACCACTCCTGTAACATATTCCTCTACCTGTACTCTGTGGGAAGAGGACAGTGCTGTGCTCTTTGGTGGGCAAAGCAATCCATTCACCATAGAAGAAGGGGATGATAGTAACATTTCTGGAGGACTCAATAGGACTGAAGGAGGAATGAGAGCAGGAGACAAATCCCTTCACATTTGTGGGATGAGATTCCTGCCAAATTATGCCTTCTCACAGGAGAAATTTTCACATTGCTTAGTGAAAAGCACCTATCTAAAGCACAGCCTAACAGGAGACTTCTCCCTGGAGAGTGTCTTGTGCACATTTCTTCAGGAAGTCCATCTTTGTTGTGCAGATTATAAGCCTGGCATGCTGCAGGGAGAAAAGATTACTTCCCTCTGACCTTTTCTGAGGATGAACAGAAAAGCAGAAGTCCTTCTAGTGTTGAAGCATTCCTCAGACATCCAGACATTTAGCTGTATTTCAGTTCTGCAGTATAACCCTCACTGCAAAGCATCATTTTAGTGGCTTTGATTAAAAACAATTGATATTGTCCCCTTTACTGCCCTGGGGAGCCATGTAATTAGAGGAATCAAGCCAGCAAACATTTCTCACAAGATTTTTATAAAAAGATCTCGTAGGATTAGGCTTCTAAGTCCATATTTGGGCATGACTGGGTGCCTACAGCCATTCTATGGACATGGATAAATATGGCATGAGGATTTTGTGTGTCCTGTTTTTCTCTAACACCCTGCCTCCTTTGATGAGCTCTAAATGTATTTAACCAGGGCCTGTACCTGTTGCCTGAGTGGGCAGCCCTGAAGTCCCCTGTCTTTTGATCATTAGAGAGGGAAAATTACCTCTGAGCAGGAGAGGGGAGTTGATACCTCACAGAAATGATACCCTCAGTACTTGGGCCAACCACATAGGAAGGGCAGTAGTGGGACCAGAGAAGAAGATCCACCACTGGCCATCTGGCAAGGAGACAGGTAACAGAAGCTCTGCAGGAGGTATTATCACTGTCCTCATGACTCCATTGAAGGAGACATGCTGCTAAGACAGATGCTGCAAAGAGAAGGCTTTCCAAGCAGTCATGGAGCAGGGAAAAAATCCCCAGTAATGAAGTGTCAGGCAATAATCTCTGTTTGGATATCTGGAGAGTGATGCTCTGGGTACAGTTAGAAAATGAACACTCCTCGTTTCTCCAGGTGGATGCTCTGCCCAGCAGGTAAGGGTGTCAGCAGTAATGGATGATGATGAGCAGCTGTAAGAGGAGGAGTGATCTGTTCTATCAGAGCTGCACTCAAGTGCACATACGACAGTTGTTAAAGATTATGCAGTGTCTGGTTGGACAAACAGTGCCTGTCAGCCCAGCCATGAGGAGTGCATACTGTTGAAGCACTGATGATTCAATTTACCTTCTCTTGAATTTGTATCTGTGCATAATTAAAATTTGAATTTCCTCTCTCTTTCGTTCTCAACTCAAGAAAGTGTTATGAGGCCTAAATCTTCTACCTCCTGATATGCTGCAGCTAGACCACCCCAGTTAGTGGTAAGAGATGGAAACAGTCTGTAGAGGGAACTGAAATCAAAGATGAAGTTCACCTTGTTTAAGCTGTGAGTCACTCTTTCTGGCTGTCTTCACAGTGTTATGACAGCTGCACTGTTTCTGCAAAAATTTCCCCAACCAGAGAAAAGTAAAAAGAAACTTAAGAATTTGCATCCATGAAAAAACACAGAAGTTATGGGAGAAATGTTCCAAATTTTCTTTGAGCTAAATAAGCAGTTCTTAAACAATTAACTTTCTAAAGCAGTTCTGAATTCTGCTGAGTTACAAAGTGTCTTCACTTTGCAGATTCAGCTTTATTTTTTTTTAGAGACTTGCTATTGCTATTAGTCTGATCTGTGTAGATGATCCACCTGTCTATTCTACATAGACACAAAGCAGCATTCCTGGTTGTCTTTGTATATCCATTCTGGGTGTCTTTGATTTCTTCCCATTTATCTATTTCAGGACCTTCAGAAAGGTAGGTGGGTAGACTTTGTCAATGACAGATTAGCCTAGGGGTTTTTTAATCACTTATGAATACATAAGTGTAATTAATTGTACTCACAAAGACACCTTGATTGCACCTGCAAAATCAAATACTGAGTTCTTCTCTGCCTAAAGAGCTCATTTGTAATCTGTTTTTCCTCAGGTATGTCATCCATTCATGGTCCTTCTCACGAATATACTAGTCACAAGCTAAGCTAAATAGCACGTCAGAGTATTTATGTGCAGAGCTGTAATCTCTTCCTGTCTTGACTGAGCACAACAGAAAAATTCATGTATTCCAAAGGAAATATACAGTCAGCAGATCACACAGTGGATCTCCTCAAGCCCAGGCAAAACGATTCCACATCATTGCTGTGAGCAGAGAAGCCCCTCTTGGAAGTCCCTTGAGATCAGAGATGTTCACATCTGTGTTATCTGTTTCAGTCCATTAGTGAGGAAGCAAAGTGGTGGTGTGGGTTCAGCCTTCAGACACACATGCCTAAGCATATAGATTCACATTTCCTTTATGTTTTGCCTAGCAGTGACCAAGCCCTAGGACACAGGCCAAACATGCAGTTGCTTAAAGCAAATGGAGGGCAGGAGTGCAGCCATTTCTTCTGGTTTGAGAGGGCCCTGCAAAAGCCAGTTGGCTGCTTTTGATGCTTTTACTGCCAAGGATGAGGTCAGAGTGAATGGGAGGCTGGCTATGGTTGCAGCTCCTCCTTGAGCGGTTTTTGTGACCTCTCATGAATTTTTCTTAATCTCCTGTCCCCTCTTCCAAGCCTTCCTATTCCTTGGTGTACTTCTCAGGGTGGATGAGATTTGAAGCCTTGTGCTCCACTTTTAGTAGTAAGCAAGAGTTTTGAGCTGCTAGAATTCTGCTGTTTTTCTCACTTTCCATCTCTCCTCTAAATGTGAGAAATCATATTGAGATCAGATATAGACAAGAATTATCTGTATTCCATCGTCAGGATGGGAAAGAGAAATTTTCTTCTGAAACACTGCAGGATGCAGAGCTGGATGTTTATACTCATGATCTTGACCCATTCTAACCTCACACAGAGAAAACATCTCTCCAGAATACTCTATTTGGTATTCCCATTGGCAGATGTATCTTATAACTTTCTGAGAGATGTGGAGGAAAATTAAGCAAACTGAATTCTGGTAAAAACAATCAGATTCACTGACTCTTAAACTGACGTTCTTGGGTTCATTGAAAGGAGACAGATTGCTTGATAGTTACACAAGCCTCTGTTGACCTTATCCTGACATGACAGTGCAGTCTCTTTTGAGAAGACCACCTCCAGACTCAAGATGACACTTCCATCAGAAAACTTATTTGGTCCTTGGCCTCCCTGCTGAAACTGCAAACAATGACCCTTTATTCCCAGTTGTGATGGTGGCAGAGGTAATGTGCACACCTGCCTGCAATAGGCACTGGGATGAGATCACCAGCTCATTTCACATGGGATGGTAAATGACCACTGATAGTAATTCTTGATTGTGAACTACATTTGCCCGAGCCCAGGCTGGCATTCCACATAGGAGGTGGTTTCAATTGCAGTAACAATTTCCTGAGCCACCTGTTCTCAATGGTTTAATGTTAGTAGAGCATAGAAATTAAGACAATTGAAACAAGTTGCCTTCTTTGGAGAGTCATCTGAGATGTAGAGTATCATATGCTGCACCAAGGAGAGAGACATGCGATTGCAGATCGTTCAGACAAGGCAATCAGAGTATTTTCCCTTGTGCTGTTAAACACTAGGTAAAATTCACTCCTGTGCAGATGGGCAGTGTGTAAAGACATCATGCTAAAATCTCACATTGATTTAGTCAGCTCTTCCCCCCAGCCTGAGTCCCATTTGAGACAGACAGTAAGTGTGAGCTGAAAGGACCCAAGTAGGTATTCAGTGTAGAGGAATCTAATATATATGATCCACCTCAGTGCCCTGTAGGAATTTCACTTTGTCAGCTGGGCTGTTTCATAATGTTTTCCACTTTGCTTTCTAAAGCAGCCCCTTGCAGGTTATATCCATACAAATATAAGTAGTTCTTACCTGGAGTTGAGGGTTCAGTCCATTTAAAAATTGGACCCTTTTGTTTAAGCTTCTAAATCAACAGTTTAGGAGCTAACAATTGAATTATTGGAATTTGATTTATCAAACAGGCTTAATAATACATAGGTTAATTCATTGATTGGGTTTTTTTGAGAGTTAATTCATTAATTTGGAGAAGGCACTGCATTGGACCCAGTGGAAAGGTGTTAATGAAGCAGAAAATGTAACTACTATTGATTGATTGATTGATTTTTCTAAAATTCTTTGCACAGTTTTCATGATTATTGTTGGAGGGTTGTTTGCTTGTTTGGCATTGTAAATTGCAAAATATCACTCCCAGCATGAGAAAATCTCATTTTTCATTTTTTCCCAGGCCTTGAGGCTGAGTCTGGATCCCTTGAAATTAAGGGCTCATCCTAGTTTGATGCTGCAGCAGTGCTGGTTTCATGCACAGCTCATAATGCTGAAAAGCTGTAATACTGAAGGCCTGATCCAAAACCTGCGAAGTCCATGGAAATCTTCCAGTAGGTTTTGGACCAGACAGGAGGAAAGTACTTCCCCAACACTGTTAGGAACCCACCTCCATCCCAGTGACTTGAGGCCCAGTCACATGGCACTCATTAACGTTTTTGGTAGGGTTTTCATAATCCCAATATTGTGCCACCAAAGTTAGTGGTAAGTTTCCTATTTGCTTTAGCAGGAGCAAACCTAAGACAAATACTAGGTGAAGTAGAATTTGTTTTAAATTCACTCAATGCTGACAGTCATTAGCAACAGTAATGGATAACTCATTGGGGACAATGGCTTCTCATGTCTAGAGAGTGGGGACTGTATTATCTGCTGTGTCTTCCATAGTGATCTGCTTCAGCAGATATAAGACTTAGTGCTTAAGTACTCTTGGTCCAGCAATTTTCACAATCATTAACCTTTTTAAAATACAGGCATTAAAACTTGGTTTAGAACTACATCAGAGTCTCTAAATAGAGGTAGGTCAGCATTTCTTGAAAACAAATATTGCTGTATAGGTGTCTCTGAAACAGGGGAAGAAACAGCACCACTGCCAAGCAGAAGGCAAAGCTAAGCATTCAGGGCCATAACTAAGCAACATGAAATTCCTGTTCTTATGCCCTCTGTTTTCAGTCTATATTCTCAATAATGTTCTTTCATAAAACTCTCAAATGTCTACCCTAGTTCACTTTCTGGCAGAATCTATCAGTTTTGTCTATCCATAATTTATCATGTTTGTCCACCCAACTAGAGGTTTGAAAAATACATTTCATGTCAGATAACAGCCTTGAATACTGAAAGTAAAGCATTGAGATCTCAGGTTTTAGATATATTGTCCATTTCTGTGGGTGAAATTGTCCTTGCTGAAAAGTGTACAGCATTGTGAGTACCATTAATTACACTTAAATTAGCCCAATTTAATTGTGATTACACATATAATCTGAAAGACAGATTGAAACCTGGCTAAAAATTAGAGCCACCATCTCACTCTCCAGATGTCAGATTATTGTCAAACAGTTCATCATTGACCATGATTCATGTATAGATATTTGTGGATAACTGTTGGAGAATATCAAGTGGTAAAGAATACTGGGAAGTGTTTGGCATTGTACATACAAATGTTGCATATTTTTATTTGAATTGTCAATCAAATGTTGAGAATGAAAG